CCCCCCCGCCGCCTGCGCCGGCTGCTTCCTCGCCTCCACCTCGCTCACCCCCTCCTCCCCGCACTTTCTCCGGCTCTCCCTCCCTCCCTCTCGGCTCTCACCGCCGGACTCCGCGCTCTTCTCGCTGGCCGCCGAGGGAGTCGCCGGCCGCCACCGCCCAGCCTGTACCTGCCGCCCCCCCGCCCAGGGCTTGGGCACCTGTTGGAGGCACAGACACAGGTGCAGAGGGCTGGGCCGCCGGGGGCGTGAGGGTGAGGGAGCGCGTGTGTGGTAGCCTGTGAGGCCACGGCGTGCTTAGCTCCCTGGAGGCTGCAATTTCTGGCTCCTCTTGGAGAGCCAGTCTCAGGAGGAGGCGTCCGAGGCGGGGGTCCCCCGCGGGGGGCTGCAGGGTAGGGGGGACCAGGCACGCAGGTAGGCAGGCCGATCCTGGGGCTGAATGAAGGGACAGCGGGCCATGAAAGCCTAGAGGGGTGGGTGACACCCGGCCCAGACAGGCCCCTGGTGCAGAGGGATGGACAGAGCCTAGGAGAGGCAGAGGGGGCCTGCAGGGCTGCTTCAGAGGTAGGCAGGGCCCAGGGGCAGACGGCATCCCAGGATGAGGGGCAGGAGCTGGGAAGATGGCATCAGGACTGTCCAAAGGTATGTGGGCATGGCCGAGGTGGAGCCAGGACCTATCTGGGGGAGTGGGCTGGCAGCCCAGCCCCAGTGCAGCGAAGCTGGGGGTCTGGAGGGCTCAGGCCTCCTGCCTGCCCACCAGCTGGCCCAGGCCACCCTCTCCCTCCACACCTGGGAAGGGAAGCCAGGGAGGGCCCCACCAACTGGGGAGGTTGCCGCCTGGGGCTCACGCTCTCTTGGACCTCCCTCCTGCAGCCAAGGGTGCTGCATGAGGGGCCGCAGGGGCGACCGCATGACCATCAACATCCAGGAGCACATGGCCATCAACGTGTGTCCTGGGCCCATCCGGCCCATCCGGCAGATCTCTGACTACTTTCCCCGCCGGGGACCAGGACCTGAAGGCGGGGGCAGGGATTTCAGGGAGGCCCCTGCCCGCCTGGCACCCCTGGCCCTGGCCCCGCCTGCAGCCCTCCTTGGGGCCACCACGCCCGAGGATGGAGCGGAGGTGGACAGCTATGACTCGGATGATACCAGTGAGTCTGGGGGTTGAGGGGGGGTGCTTCTGGGCTGTGGAAAGGGGCTGGGGCCCTGCTGGGCGTGTTGGGGGAGGCGGGCTCTGCCTCCAGGGCTGCAGTCAGCGTGGAGATTACAGACAGTTTCCGAAAGGCTCAATATTCAATATTTCTGCTGAGACACTCAACCACCCACACAGCCCCAGTTGCGGCCCAGCCGGGGACCCAGATGCTCGCGCGCACCCCCCCCCCCCCCCGCAGGCCGCCAGACGCCCAGGCACGCGCACCTTCCCCAGCCTGCCCACGGGTCTCTCACACACACACCTGTCCTTACACACTGCCTCACGCTGGTCTTTCCTCTTCTCCAGCCGCCCTGGGCATGCTGGAGTTTGACCTTCTCTACGACCAGGCCTCCTGCACTCTGCACTGCAGTATCCTCAGGGCCAAGGTGGGTACTCCCGGCCTCCCAAGCCCTGGCCCCGTTTGCCTGTTTCCAGGTCCCCAGGTTGGACCCCTCCTCCTCCCCCCGACCCCTATCCCCCGGCACCCTTCTTCTTGACTCTCCACACCCCGAGGATCCACTCTGCAGCGGGAGGGAGGGAGGCAGGGCTGGGAGCTTGCAGCCCTCTTCCCTCCCCTCCCCTGCAGGGCCTCAAGCCCATGGATTTCAATGGCCTGGCCGACCCCTATGTCAAGCTACACCTGCTGCCTGGGGCCTGCAAGGTAACGGCCTCTTCCCTCCCCCAGCCTGAGCCGGCTTGTGGGTCTGTCCCCAAACTTCCCATGCCTTCAGCCTCCGTGGGTCTGGGGGACGTGGACTGAGAACCTTCGTCCCCACACCTCAGGCCAATAAGCTAAAAACTAAGACTCAGAGGAACACGCTGAATCCCGTGTGGAATGAGGATCTGACGTACAGTGGGATCACGGATGAGGACATCACCCACAAGGTGCTCAGGTGAGGGCTCCATTCCCCCTGTTACCGAGGATTCCAGCTCAGCACCTCCTCTGGGAGCTGTCATTGCCACCTTCTTTGGTTGGTTGATCTGCCTCCCATTAAGCCCCTCTCAGATGCTCAGGAACAATCACTGGCTCCCCATCCCCCTTCGGCAGCAGGCCAAAATGTTTCCCCGGCATTCCTGCCCTCCAAATATCTCCTCCTACTGCTGGTCAGCTTCAAGACTCCTGACCTCTGCCTGTTGTGTCTCTTCCATGGAAAGTGCTCCCCGCTGTGCCTCCTCCTGGAAGCTTTCCCTGGTTGCCGAGCGCCCTCCCCAAAGCCCCCGACAAGTCAGACCTATGTAGCAGAGGTCTGCCCATCCTCATGCCTGTGCCCTCCTAACATCCCGTGCTAAGGAGTGAAGTCTTCAGGGACAGGGAACTTGCTCCATCATCCCAGGAGGTGGGGCTGTGGGGACTGTAGTCCCTGGCCCGACTGAAGGGCAGCACAGCCCAGGCTTGTGAGGCCTTTAGCTGTGTTCTTGGCAATGGGGAAGCCGGGGCAGGGTTGGCACTGGGGCGGGGGCATGGTCAGCCTTGGGTTTTGGAGATCATTCTGCTGGCTGTGAGGCTGACTGGGGATCGGGGCGGTGGGGGCGGGGGGGACAGAGGCAGACACCGGGAAGGCTGGCCCATCTTTCAGATGTGAGCGCATTAGGCCTGAGTAGCCGAGTGTGCACTGGTGCCCAGCTCTGGGTTATGCAACTTTACATTTATTTCCCTTGATCCTGATAGTTGTAGGAGGTGGGTGCTCCTATCTCCATTTTATAGATGGGAATTGAGGCATAGGGAGCTTGAGTGACTTGGCCAAGGTCACACAGGTAGCTAGTAGGTGGCAGAGGTAGGAAATGAACAGCCCTCCAGGACAGCTCCTCAGGAGTGTCAGGACAGAAGGAAGCGCAGGGAGCTGCAGAAGGGGACGAACGGAACTAAAAGCAATCATTTCTTTTTTTTTTTTTTTTTTT